AAAATTTTTTTTTTTTGATAGTTTTAAGTGATTTAGGTGTTACTTCAGAGAAAGTGGAGTTAGTCTTTGTTATAATTAATACACTTAATTGACAAAAATAAATAATTAGAATATATACAGTAATAAGTACACCTAGGAACCTTGCGAGAATACCTCATACTCTACGGGCCTCAAATTTTGTTACAGATTATTCATCCTATTCTTATGCATTTCTTATGTGTTCCGGGACCTTTATTTTTGTCAAATTTTATTATTTTAAAAATCTAATACAATTTATTAACGTTGTTTTGTATATTTTTAATGTCCCCTGATGCCACGGCCATTCAGAGCTTGAGGATAGAGCAGGCCCCTTTGCCTCTTCGCGGGCCCCTTTAGCTGTCTTTTTTTTGAACAATTGAAATGCGTAGAATGTTTCGTTATTAATTAGGAACCAATACATACGGTAAGTCCGTAAATTTTTTCCCGGCCCGAAGAAAAATTCCCATCTCCCCTCTCGACGGGCCTCTCTGGGGCCTCAAAAAGGCAAATTGTACGGGTCTAGTTAGAATCTCCGAAAGGAGCAATATAAGAAATTTATAAGGAAGAAAAATAGAAATTAAATTTGACAATATGAAATAGTTTACTTTATTAAAAAGTAATTATAACTGTACATAATTAAATTATGATTAATTAGGTGAGAGGGGACTCGGCTCATTCACAATACGAAGCTTCGTTCCTCTTTGAAAGGCATAAAAGTGACTTTTTTTATCACTTATCAATAGAAACATTACTTTGTATCGCTTCTTTGTTATGTTGTTTACTAAAAGAGTAAATTTTGGAACCACCTGTACCCCAAAATTTAACCTTTTTTATGTAAAAATAGATGGAAGGGTACTTCAGGACTTCCTGCACCCCTTGCAAGATTATTGTAAAATACACGCACACCCTTTTGAGTTTCATGAGCTCAAAAGGTTAGAGTGCTAAGAAAGCCTTTTTAATTACATCCGAGGCCGGGTAGCAAATGCGATTAAGGCGTCAGCCTACCGCTCTGGGAGATCAGAAATCAAATTCGGGCGAGCAACTCTCGAGGAATTTTTCGTGGATAGTCTTCCCGAATATGTCGGGCCCTTGCTGTGGAACTAGCCAAATCCATTATGGGTATGGAAAAAGGCACTCCAAGTGCCACAGAGAGAAAATAAATTACAAAAAAAAAAAAGGCATATTCATCATAGTTTAGGCCAGACCCAGAATAGGAGAATACATGGAATAGAAACCCCATCATTATAAAAATTATTATAAAACCCCAAAGCTTTTTCTTTTGGGTTTCCTTACCTGTACGTACCTTCAATTATTACCAAATTTGAACAAAATTAATTACCTGTTTCTTGAATTTTTACTTAAACAGTTAATTTAATTGAAAATACTCTGCCCAAAAATCCTATAATTTATTATGAGGTTCGGCCGAATATCGGTTGTTCCCCGTTTTTTTTTTTTTACCCATACTGAACCATCACCCATTGAGGAACAGGCCCTGTTATAATAGAAAGAATTGTGGTTTGTTTATACAGTTTATATGTTCATGCCAAGTGTTAATTAATTAATTCACAATATTAAAAAATGTCAAAGAATTCAAACCCGCTCCCATTAAAATGGTGCAAAAACAGCAGCTCATTTCACCCACTTAAATAACATTAAGAAAGGAAAAACTTGATTATACAGGAAGCCATAAAAATGAATTACTGAATTTCTACTTCTATATATTATTCTTTTTTTATCTTTTCCTTTAGTAACAATGTTATTTGGACAGTAAAAGACAACTTCATCAGCGTTTAAGAGGCACTATGAATGCCCGACACGTCTCTTCAAACTTATACCCGGTAGCTAACTGCCAATAATTCAATGTCATTTAAAATTTTCATCCTTAAAAAACAAGGGCATGATAAAATAAATAATAAAAATATTGTTTAAAATCGATTAATCCCTTCCAAAAAAACATCTTTCGGAACGAGCGGCGGCCATTTTTTTTAAACTGTATTTCATGAAATAACATAAATTAAAACATTTACCTGATTCAGTAGCATAGATGAAGCTTACGAGAAGCAAGAAGAAGCACATCAAAGACATTTTCTCTAATAATTAAAATTTCTAGTTGGGTCATACGTAGAGGAATTTATCAAAAAGAAGTCCCGAGTAAGCGCATGCGTTAAAACTGTACATTTTTCCTATTGGTTGATTTAAAAATTTAAAAATGAATACAAGCGTAGGAAAGAATCAAAATTATTTTATTAATATTATTTTATTTTTTAAAGAATCATAAGTGAAATTATCCATTCTGTCAACGTTATAAACTAGTCTGGGTCATCAAATTTGGCAAGGATAAAGTGAAATAGTTGAAGGAGTGTAACTCGATTTTCTTCATTATTTGTTTGTTTTTATTTGAGTTTTTTCTTTCATCTTTTCTTTAAAATTTTTTTTTTTCAATTATTTAATGTTGCAATTTAATTGTTTTATGAAATTATTTTAATAATAAAATAATTTCGATGTCTATGTCTACCGCGATTCTTGGAGAGATTGTTTACGTCTAGGGAATTTATTACAAAAAATTCCCTAACTAGTTTATATTTTATGTTATTTTTTTTAAAATTTCCTTTCCGATATTTCTTAATTTTGAAATAATAAAATTACTTTATTTAAATAATTAAAAATATTACGGATAGATACATTCTAAAGAGAACATTTTTAAATTTTATCTTTCTATAAGGAAATTTAGGGAATAAAAATATTGAAATAATTCTGTAAATTATATATTAAAATCTTTAAAAATAAAAAAAAATAATAAATATATATATTCGATATTTTTAAACTTTTAAAATAGCAATGAAATGTTTATAATTTAAAAAAAAATTCTTACATATTGTTATAAAATAATTTGCTTAAATTAAATTAAAATAAATTTTGTTTTCCTTTTAGATTTAAATAAAATTAATTTATTCTTTAAAAATAATTGCGTCATCTATTAATTTTAGGGATTTTTTTGTGATGACGTAAACATCAATATTTAATTTATTTATTTATGTGACAAATTTAAATAAAGAAATTACGGAAGGTCTTTAATTTAAAATTTTAAACAGTTCTTAAGGATTATGCAGTTTATTAATAAATAATAAAATATCTTTTTTTTTTTTTTTTAAATCTTCCTTGAAAATTTAATTTATAAATTTTAAAGCTTCTCTGGTTTTAAAATATTAATTAATTTTTCAAAATTAAAAAAAAATAATTATTATTTATATAATAATAATTCCCAAAATTAATATCTACATTAATTAAAATTAAATAAATAAATAAATATTTTCCATTTAGGGAATAAAATCTATCATTGAGAACGCTACAAAAGAGGGAAAAAAATTAATTAGGGAAAAACTGTATTTAGTGAATTTTTTTTCATTTGTAAAATTCAATTTTAGGGAATTTCCGTCATCTTCAAGAAAATTTTACGGAAGTAAATTTAAGCAGACGATGGAAATATAGGTAAAATATGTAAATATAAAAATTTCATTATATTTCGAATGTTTAAATATAAAGAGATGCCAAATAAACAAATATCCAATATATTTTTTTAAAAATCAAATTTATAAATATTAAAAATAAAAAATTAAAAAAATTATATTAATAATAGGCATTCTGTACAAAAATGTAGGAATAAAGTCGGTATTTAGGGAAATTTTTCTTCTGTAAAATGCGATTTTCGAGAATTTTCGTTATTTTTAAAATAATTTTACAGAAAATATATTTAAACAGCCGATGGAAAATGTGAATAAAGATTATTTTACACACATTAATTAAAATTCGTTTTAAATGAATTTAAAATTATATAACTTTATTTAATTTCAAAACAATCGAATCCTGTTTCGTAAATGGGGAAAAAATTTAAAAATTCTATTAATAATTTACCATTTAAATAATAAAATTTCTCAAAGATGATATTCAAAAATATAAGGAAGAACTTTTGTATTTAGAGAATTTATTTCTTTCGTAAAAGACAATTTAAGGGAATTTTCTATACTTTCGGGGAAAAAATATATTCAAGCAGACGATAAAATATTAGTCAAATATAAAAATTTTTTATTTCTTTAATGTAAAAGATTTTATTAAACTTTTAGAATTTGAATATAGTATATATATATTAAAAATAAAGTTAAATAAATCAATACTCGACAATCGTTTTATAAATGGAAATTAATAAAACAAAAATTATGTTAACAATAGGTGTAGGGAATTTATTCATTGGTAAAAGGCAATTTAAGGGAAATTTTTACACTTTTAAGGGAAAAATATATTTAAGCAGACGATAAGGTATGTGAGTTAACGACAGGGGTCGCTATTACAAGGCAATTTAAGGGAAATTTCTATACTTTTAGGGAAAATATATTCAAGCAGACGATAAAGTATGTGAGTTAACGACAGGGGTCGCTATTACAAGGCAATTTAAGGGAAATTTCTATACTTTTAGGGAAAATATATTCAAGCAGACGATAAGGAATGTGAGTTACGTATCGTACGTAAGTTTTTTCTTTTTTTTTTTAATAAAATTTTGAGACTTTAAACGTAAAAAAAAGAAGTTAGAGAAAGTAATATCGGATATTAAAACAATCGAATCCTGTTTTATAAATTGTAAAATAATTAAAAAATTCTTGCAGAATGACACATATCACGAAACTGTTTATCCTTTTTGGAGTGATACGTTTAGTGACGCCACCGGAAAACGTGACGGATTTGCATGGAGAAAAATAGGCCAAATACAGGTTTTTAGGCAGTCATAACTGCACCTCATTCATTCGAAGGTCGAGTCAAAGGTAAGTAGTAAGGTCGAGAAGTATGCTAAGAGCAAATCAGGTCTTTGGTATTTCCAACATGGTTATTTTCTTCTGGTTTTGAGGACGTCGAGATCGGGATGAATGTTGTTATTTTTTTAACCTTCAGATTTATTTTTAAATCTGAATCTTTACTAATGACGAGCTCATTCACCTGTTACGTAGGATTTCAGCTGTTTTGTTTGTATAGGATTCAAATTAACTTCATACACAGGATGTAATCCAAAATTACTTTTCTTTTTTTTTTTATTCTATGAACTTATAAGTTTATAACTTAACATATCAGGAAAAGAGTCTTAAGTCTCTATAAATCATCATTTAAATAGAGACTAAGAATTTTTAGGGAATAAAGGATCTATAAGGGTCTTACTCATATGAACTTATAAGGATCTCTGGTAAGTTTATATCAATAAATATACAAATTTATATGATCTTATAAGGATTTTTTCATCTTAAATGAACCTCATATGAGGAAAAAAGTCTCTATAAATCCTCACACATACTATAACCCCTATAACACTGTAGATAATTCCATTTTATATGAATTCCGTGTTGTACGAGTCGCTTAGATCTTACAAATACGTGAGCCGTTCATAGCCTGGCACACGTATTTGTAAAATCTAAGTGACTCGTACAACATGAAACTCATATAAAACGGAATTATCTACAGTGTTATAGGGGGGTCGACTGTATAAATCTTCATACAAAAATAACTTCATGTAAACTAAGATTTTTTTAGGGAATGAAGGATCTATAAGGGTCTTACTCATATAAATTTATAAGGATCTTTGTAAGTTCATATCAATAAATCTATTATTTTATGTGAGCATATAAGGATTTTCTTAATCTCATTGGAGATTCATTTGAGGAAAAACCTTATAAATATATTTTAATTTTTAAATCTTATTTGGTATGGAACATGAATAACATAAGAAGAAAACAAAATAAAGTTTTTAAATATAACATTAAATTAATACTTATACAGCATTCATTTCTATTTTAACTCATACCACGAAGTGAGAAAAGAGATGAGTAATGAATGATGAAAAAAATATATATGTTGTAATATTTAATATATTGATTAAAAAGAAAAAAATCTAATTATGATTTATATAAATTACTTTCAGATACATGAACCAAATCATTTAATGATATTTAAATGCCGCTGTTCATTATCATTCTGAATTTCGTTATTACTGGAATTATTAAATATTAAAAGTAAGTATTTATATATATATATATAAAACACTAATATCTTATGCCATATTATCTCTTACAATAAACAGTTAAAGGCTTTTAATTATTATTCAAAACAACACAAGGCCAACTGATTGAGTCTCAAACCACTTTCTGTTTTACATCGTTTTACAATTCTATACTACTTTGCAATCAAATCATTCGTGTCTTATGCTTATATACGTTATATTTTCCTTATTTAAAAATTTCCTTAAGCTATACACGAAAAAGTAAATTTATAATATTTGATTGTAAGATAGCTTTCTTCTGTTAAGTCCGAACAAGTTTCAGATGTGATATAACATTTTTTAAAGATCTAACAAGTAAGCCGAATAATTTAAAAAAGAAAAAAGTATTTTAATTTATTTTACTAGATGAAGAAAAAAAAAATTATATAGGTACAAATTACATAGCTCTTAATTTAGATGCGGTATGTTTTTATCTTTTCAACAAAGAACTCTATCGCATCGACCGAACCAGGAAATGTAGTTTAATTTTAGTATTTTTTTACAAAATAAATGTTAAGATTAATTATAAATTTCTAAATTTAAACAGTAAATATATTTAGATTAAACGGTATTTTAAAGTTGAAGATAGTTCTGTAGGTAATTTCTCATATAGTACGACATTTATAATCGTATAAAATTTTAACAGTAGCAGTCAGTTACAACCATCTCACGATTCAATCCAGTTCTTGTTGACATAGCATTCGTTATTTTAAATTTATTTTTCCTTTAAATTCTAATTCGTAGAATACCAAATAGTTTTTAATCATTGTGTAAATAGCTTTTATAAAAATTTATCCATATATGGATAATTTATATGTAAAAACCAAGGTTTTTATTATCACCGAATAGCTGATCTTGAACTTCAACATTCTATTCTGTCCCATAGTTAAAGAAAGTAATATCGGATATTAAAACAATGGTATTAGATAAGTTTCTGACATAAGGAATTCACATCTATTTAAGAAATTTAAGTTTTGATTAATTTTCTATATTAAAACTTAAATATATTTTTAAGTTTTTGAAAACTGGTATTACTTGCTTGTAAATATATATATATAGTAAAATTTTATGTTTATAAATATAAAGGAAGGTGGTACGATGACTTAATTTTGTTTAATGACTTATGTTCGGGTATTTTAAATAATTATAAATGAAATAAGTTCTCCGAATTTTAATTATATTTGGTTTAATTATTTTACATAAAACAATGATTTTAGTTATATAATTATTAATTTTATTAAATATTATTGATTATAATACTTTAAGGACGGTTGGGGATCAAAAATTTTTATGGATCACTTCTCAGTCACACCATTGTGAATCTGGCAAATTTATGAGGAATACGATAAAAGGTAGTCTTAGTGTTTGTAACATAGAAGAAATTAAATAGTAAAAAAAAAAATTCATGTTCATAGAATTGTCTGTAGCGACATTTTAAACGCTCTCTAAGATTCTTATCATATCTCAAAAAAGCACGTTTCTATGAATGTATGGAAGGAAATTCTATTAAGGAAATTGGTAAATTACTATTATCAGACAATACCAGACACTTAGTTGGCAGAGAAAGCGCCAGTTAAATGGCATTGAGAATGATGAGAAAACTGTTTCCATAACTGATTATAGTTCATGCCGAGGCCTTAAAGTCCGCTTCGAGGGACCCGAATTCGAATCCGGGTCAGAAACTTCAAGAATTTTTTCATGGAAAATCTGTCCCGGATGTGTTGGATCCCGTCTCTCACTACTGGCACGGATATACATTATATAGGCCTATATAGTGACGACAACGAACACTAAAGTTATCGAGTCTAATGGCATTTGGTGATCACTTTCCGTGAGAAATACGTTCGGCGTAGTGAAACATATCAAGAATGACATTAAGATACATGTATAATTCTATCTTTTTAACATCGTTAAGATGTATTTTCTATAATCACGATGACCTGACAATATCAGATGACCGTAATGTTTGAGAATGAGTCATTTTCTTTTATCCACAATTCTATATTTTTCTCTTATGGTATTATAAAATAGTTCTAAATGATTCACACATTCTCAAGTTGTTAGGAAACGTTTACTTTAATTATTTTAGAAATTATCTTTAATTATAGACATCCTTTGCTGTTGTTAAAAACACTTCTTACAATGTTACGCAAATCTCATTCTGTCAATACAAGTATTGTTTATATTAAATAGACTTTTATAGACTATGTTTAAATGAGAAAAATTAGCATAAATTATTTTATTCGCCGTATATGTAAATAGAGAAACAAAAATTATACACGGGATTCAAATTTCTCTGTGTCTTCGCTCTCCATTAAACAGGAGAAACGGATTCATTCCTGCAGGAACTAAAATCCGGATACTCCTGCTAAAATTTTGGTGGATCTAACAATTAATTATTAAATCTTTCAAAGAGTGGGCACGTAATTTATGCTAAGAGAATATCATTATCCGTTTCTTATCCATTTTCAGTCACGATCCGTTCCGGATTTTCAAACCCACTATTGTTTTCACTCACGGTTTGATAAGCGGAATAATTCTCGACTAAACCATTCGTGTTTTTAATTATATCAGAGATGAAGGCGTAATTCCTCATCATTCATAAATATAGATTACAAAAACTAACATCCTGTTATCTGGTGATGAGTGTTATCACTGCATCTAATCAAAAGTGATTTATTTAGATTTAATTTAAAATTAAAATTAAAGTGAATTTAATGTTTTTTTTTAATTTTATTTTATCTACACAAACTCTAGTTAGTGTCAAATTAAAGTATTAATATACCAGTATATTTTAAGTAGGAAGATATGTTTATCTTTTGAATATATTTAAGATATGCAAACGAAAACAGTGGGCGAAAAGTGTTTAGTTAGCATAAAATTGTTCGGAATGTAATTGCTTTAAGTTTCCAGAATACCTGTTTTCGAATTAAAAGAATAAATTAATAAATTTTTCCAGTTTCATAAAAATGAAGTTTTTAGTTTTATATTTAAACGCATTCATTTATTTATTTTTTCCTCCAGCTTCTTTTCCTTTCTCTTTTTTATTCTCCCATCTTTTTCTCTTCTTCTTCCTTTTATTTTTTTATTTCTCTGCTCGTTCTTTTCTCTTTCTCATAGTTTTTTTTCTAATCCTTCTTCTCTCCTTCTTCTCTTCTTCTTCATTCTTGCTTCTTTTTTTCTAATCCTTCTTCTCCTTCTTCTTCTCTTCCTCTTTATCCTTGCTTTTTTTTTCTAATTTTTCTTCTCATCCTTCATCTCTCCCTCTTCATCCTTGCTTCTTTTTTTTCTAATCCTTCTTCTCCTTCTTCTTCTCTTCCTCTTTATCCTTGCTTCTTTTTTTCTACACTTTTTCCTCTTCTTCTCGTCTCATTTTTTTCCATTTTCCTACTTTTTCTTAATTATCTTCTTTCTCTTCTCTCTCCTATTTCTCTCCCTCTTATCTTTTCTCCTCCTCTTCCTTCTTATTTTTTCCTCCTTCTTCTCTTTCTCTTCCTCCATTTTTTTAAAATATTTTTTTAAATTAAAATTTGTTACTTAAAACAGAAATAATTTTTTAATTAATTACAGGCAAAAATGAATTGTGTAAATGTACAGTTATAGTAATAAGATCTGTCCCAAAAGTTTAGGTAATAATAATATTTGTTTCTAAGAAAATTACTACAAAAATTCATAATGAATGACATCACTTATGACTATTAAATTAACAATAAAATCTAATAAAGTGTTCTTATAACAGTTATATTTTGAAATTAACAAAGAAATAACGGAAAAATCAAGATGTCCAAAGAAAATCAATTTTCTTCAGAGGTGACTGAAATTTGGAGATTGAAAGAAAGTGGACATTCAGTTACTGAAATTTCAATCAAAATAGGGTCATTCAGCTTCAGGAATATATAAAAGTTTTGACAAGAAAAGAAAATTTTAAACCAGCAACACGATTCAGGTCGACCTAAAGTAACATCATCTGTCATCAGACTGTTATCTAGACAAAAGTTATGTTTTAAAAGAGTCTAACTTAGATATTTCTAAAAATACTGTGCACAGAATAAATAAAAATCCTTATATTAAACTAACAAGGATGTGTAAAAAATCAAATCTCAAACATTAAAGCAAGATTTGATGGGCCAAAAAGTACATGAAGTGGAAAGATGAATGGTTAAGTATACATTCTTCAGCAATGAAAACAAGTTAAACTTAGATGGTCCCGATGGCTAGAATTACTACTGGCATAATCTGAAATAACAAGACTAAGTGTTTCACAGCAGACAACAAGATGGTGGTTCTCTAATGGTGTGGGAAGCATTTGGATTCAATGGAATTCCACTCTAGCATTTATTTCTGGATATCAGACTTCAGAGCATTATCAAGACAACATCTTCTTTCTATAGCAGAAATGATAGGTGGTCCAATTTGGACATTTCAACGGGACAACGCTCCCATTCATTGTTCAAATTCAACCAAAAAATGGTTTCAGAATCAAAATGTGAATGTTATGAAATGGCATGCAAAAAGTCATGACCTAAACCCAATAGAAAACTTATGGGGGATCATGGCAAGATAGGTGTATGCAGGTGATCGTCGGTAATCCAACGTTACAGCACTTAAACGTGCAATTGAGGATTTGTGGTATAACTTGAAACCAGAATTGTTATAAGCTCTTGTGAATTCAATGCCAAGTCGTGTGTTTGATGTTATTAAAAATAATTGAAGCACAATTACCAGTTAAAAAATTTTTCGATGTAATTTTTGAAATTTACCTAAACTTTTGGGACAGACTTACAGATTCAGTTTTAGTGTACAATCCTTATATCCCAATTTTTAATTCTAATTTATATTTCTAATAAACTGGAACATCTCTCTCCTCATTCTAGATGCCCTAGCATGGGCGTAAGCAGAGGGGACCTCCCTGGGATCGAGTAAAATATTCCACAAATTATAATCGTAAAAGTGATTGAGGTATGTATCCTTACACCTACGACACTTGACTCCCCCTTATCCTCGACCACGGAACGCTTTGATGCCATACTTTAATCTACTTGTGAAAAAAATAACCCAAAAATTATTTAATTATTTGTCTTCAAGCTTGGTTCCACCCGGAAAATTTTGTCTAAATTGCTTGAATAAATTAACTTGAAATTTCGATAATAGATGGCGCTAGAATTACTATTGTTTTCACCATTTTTTGGAGTTGTATCCTAGCTGATTCGCCTTGATATATGACACCCGATTCTTAATAAGTACCGGGGAATCTTTCAACGTTCTTAGAGGCTTATTACAACACCCCGGAGTATCATTAGAGCCAGGTCAAAAACTATTATCATATATTGTTTGGTTAATATAGTGCACGTTTTTATACAGTCTTACAATGATTAATTGTAAAAAAATTACATCAAATCGAAGAAAAAATGTAAAGTATCCCCCCCATTCGAGCCAATAAACTTATATAGATTAGCGCATTTACTCGTAGTTAAGTAAGCACTACCATATATTATTACCCTTTTTTATTACGTAACGTTAACAGTTACTGCTTTAGAATAGTTGCTTATTTACGTATTTCATCCAATTTCATGCAATAATGGGAAATTATTCAATATAAAGTAACTTAATACAGTACACAGCAAGTACATTAACGACCGGTTTTATAATGGCGGTTGAAATATTCTATTCTTGGTATCTAGTGTTTCTATTGTCAGCTTTTAAGCTCTACTTTCCTTATTTTACTTATTGTTACATCATTACCATAACAATTTATAAAGACAAAAAGTAAATTTACAAGTACATGATATTTATTTAATTTCTTCAGTTGCAAATAAAGTTATTTTTAATTTACAGGAAGGGGTGCATCTTTCTCTTCATCCACTTTCTTTGAGCTTCTTTCACTTGCAGGAGCTGATAGTTCCGGATAATAATCTTCGCTAAAATAATAATAATAATAAAGTGAGGTCAGATTTTATCGTATGATGTAGTAAATAGAAGAATATACTTACCATCCTTTGACTTTTTCGGGTAATTCGCATCTTTTTGTGTCGATGTCATAAACTAAACCATAATGACAGGTTAAAAGTCGAGGTAATGGTTTTTTGCCTTCACCTTTAACGCACGCATAATGCTTTCTACAATCGTCGGGATGAGGATAATAAACGTATACACCACGTGAAGCTGTATCATCTTGAGGACATTCAAAACCGACGAGTTCTGAAAAGAAATGTATATAAACTTTCAACAGGTGCATTCGATTATCATCGCAAATAATTGATGGGTAACTAGAAATACTGGTTAATTTTTATAACATCTGAATAACACATCATTCAACTCCCATTATCACAATATGTCACCGTTAAATTAGTCTCTCGATAAGGTCAAAAGCTAAATTCTTTGATAGTATTAAATGAAATCATCCATCTATCTCTTCTCCCTCCGGTTGCGTGTCAAGGATAACTATTAATTATAAAATCGAGAGAGATTTGACTTATGATACTACTTACTTTCAATATCGCAATCGTTAACAGAGTCAGGCCAGTCGCAATTTCCTCTCTTAGAATTGTAGACTAATCCTTCGGGACATCGCGATTGAGATGCGACTCCATCTACACAGTTCCAAAATACTCGACAGTCTTCTTTATCGGGGAACAAACCGTTACGTCTCTCACATTTGGCAGATGCGTAAGGTTTTTCTGTGTAGATAAACGTTAATTATCTTCAAGAAATGTTTTACAAATATCATTTACAGAGAGTCTACTTACGTAAGTTTGGCCTGTTAGAGCAATCGACATTAAAGGGTGAGTCACACCTAAGATACAACGGAGCACTCCTGGTGTTAAATACGAATCCATCCGGACATAGCCCTTCTGTAGAGACATTATTCTTGCATTCGTAATATCTATCGCAATCCGTTTCGTGAGGGTAGAAGCCAGTATCAGATGGGCACTTCCATCCCCAAACTAGAAACACACAGAAACGTGATACTCGCTCTACAGCTGTGTTTGCTTTATATCAGTATTAGATAACTTACCCATTCCAATGCAAGTCAGGAATAAGACAGAATACATTTTTATTTTCCTTCTTTTTTTTAAGTCAAAATGTAGGAATATTCGTTCTCACTTTGATTTAAAACTAAGACACTGAAAAGGCACTACCCGAAAGTCCTTCATCTTGATTGAGGTCAGAGAATCATTGAAAACTGATTGGACGAAAATGGAATTGTTCATTCGGATTCTATCTCATCGTGTTAAACCTGTTTTTGCTAAAATTAGTAGGTTAAGGAAAGAGAAAAATATAAATAAAAATCTGTGTCTATGTTCTTCATTCCGAATTACTCGTTATTTTTGCTCATTTTAAAAATCAATTCTTAATCTCGAGATTTCCTTATTTAAATAGGCAAAAATACGTAAAATATTGTTGTAAATTTTCAGAATTTACTAATTTGTGTAGAAATTAAGTTGAACAAATATTCAGTTTTAAATACTTTATCGCCATTTACAAGTACAGTAACACAGGTACTACAGTACAGTGTATTTTAAAATAATGTGTGTTTAATTTTTATTTTTAACATAAAGAATTACAAAAACAACGAACAAGAGTTACAAAAATAGAAAATTCTATACTCTTGTAAACAAATGTGACATTATTTTTTTATTTTTTGTAACTATATTTTGTTACGTGGAAGTTTCAACTTCTTTCTTCTTATACTTCCTTTTAGGAACTTCTGTAGAGGTATCCGATTTATAATAATCCTCGCTGTAAATATAATAATTTGTATCAACATTTTTCATTTCTTTAACTAGAAAAAAAAACGAAAACGTTCGTTGAATTTTTAATTTATAAAACTCACCATCCTTGAACTTTCGATGGAACCGTGCAACGTTCGGTTTCGTCGTCGTAAACTAAACCAACGTCACAAGTTAATAAACGTAGTAAACTCTTATCTCCATTACCTCTGATGCAAGCAAAATGCTTCCTGCAATCATTTGGAAATGGGAAATATGCGTGATCTCCCTGCGTGAGTTCCAAGTCTTCAGGGCATTTAAAGTCATAATATTCTAAAAAAAAAAGTTTGTTAAATTGGTTTGTTAAATTTATACGAAAACTAAAAGATTATGCATTAAAAAAAATTTTTTTTCCATTACTAACTTCCCAAATCGCAATCTGGTAGGGAATCTGCCCAGTCGCACGATCCACGTTTGGAATTAAATCCTAGTCCATCTGGACAAAGTGATCGACTTCCAACTCCATCGACACAAGTCCAAAATGCCCTACAGTCTTTCGGATCTGGAAACGTTCCGAAACGTCTCAGACATGCGGAATCTTTAGATTCTTTTTCTGAAAGAAGGAAATTGAATTGATGAGTTTTATCAAGCCGATTAAGAATCGTATTCTGGGTATTCATACAAAGGAAAAGTTTAGAGTGGAATATATATATATATTGTATATGAAAAATTAGGTAAATGCCACCAGAATACAATTCGAAATTTAAATATAGTTCTACTTAACACGTTTCAAATACTCGTGAAGTACAGTACCTTGCGCCGCTTCGCAATCGTCTACATTTTTACCCCAGTCGCAAGTTCCTTTTTTGATACTGAAGACCAATGGATGAGGGCAACTTGATTTTGTTCCTTTACCATCGACACAGTTCCAGAAACTGGCGCAGTCGTCTTTATCGGGAAACAAGCCATTTCTTCTTGGGCATTCGTCGTTTTCTTTTGCAGGCTCTGAACCAAACATAATCTAAGACTCTCGAATAGGCAGCATATCTTTCGAAACAAAAGTTTGAATTTTACACAACTAAGACATATAAGCACTAATTTTTAATTATAACTCACGTAGCTCGGGTCTAGTAGAACAATCCACGGCGTAAGGGGATTCGCAATGCACGGAAGTTTTACCCTTTTCATTAAATACCAACCCATCTGGGCATAAACGTTCCTTTGCGTATCCTCCGTCGCACTCGTAATATTTATCGCATTGTGTTTCGTGAGGAAAAAATCCATTTTCGGGAGGACATTGTATGGCCAAAGCTATCAAAAGTACAAAGAGAAAAAAAAGCAATTTAAAATCAATTAAACGGCTCTAAAGAAGTTGCGTATAAGGAAACTTACCGTAGCCGAAACAGAGGATAATCCAGACGAACCACTTCATTTTCAATCAGAGAAATAAACTATAGAACTGGATTTCGAATGCTTAAAACTGCACTTCCTCGATGTCCTTCATTCTATTGAGGTCAGGAAAACCGTTAGGAATATTGTTGGGTAACTACAAACCAGTTCTTCTACAGACGGGTTTGACTTAAAATTCCTCATTCCTCCGAGAATTCTTGCGAAAATACTTTCCCAAAAATAACTTTTCGTTGCAAAAAACAATCTAAATTTTACACTTGAACTTTTTTTTTTTTTACTGATCTATCTATTATTGTCGAATTACTATTAAGAGAGAGTTATTTGTGGTTTGAATTTAGTAAATGGATTACTAATTCCTGGTTTTAAAATGCCACTTATTGTTAAATGTCCTCCAAATGACAAGAAGTGCTGATTCAGGAATGCGTTTAACAAGTTACGTGTTTCACTTTTAATCACTTAATATTACTTTTTTTTAAAAAAAACAGGAATAAATTATACTGAATGATATGATGGAAACAGAACAGCTTATGACTCACAGTATGCGACTCAAGTTTAGGATGTTTTTTCTTAATCTTTTTATTATTTGGTGGAAGACTCGTATACGTAACAACTCAAGTACAAAAGGAGTTTAAATTGGACTCTAATGGAAGCAGCGATTAATTAATAAATATCTAAAATATGAAATCAAATACGTCCCTTTTTTTCAAGTCCATCGTGAGTTCTATCAGGTCCACAATGGCAGCAGATGAAGTGATGAAAGAAAGATCCAGATCCTTTGGAGACTTAAAAATAAAACTTATGAAATTTTAATTAAATGACACAAAAATATATTTTAGAAGAATATCTTAGTTTATGTTATTTATTAAGTTTGGAATGTATCCAGTAGAATTACAGGCTTGAGATAAATAATGAATTATTTCAATTGAAGTTTAAATGGTTTTGTAAATTTATGTAAATTAACATTCTTCAAAGTAGGACAGTTTAAATTAGAATTAAAAAAAAAAAAGTAAATATTTTTCTTTAGAAATACAGAATGCAAAATGTGTCATTCTAGATGGAACTCCTTTTTGAATTTTGTATATAAAAAAAAAATTACATTCTTGATACGATAATTTCTTTTTCCATTTTACATTGATTCAAATATGTACCGAAAGACTGGAATCATTACGAATCAGAGCGAATTACCGACCTATCAACATGTTTATCCTCATACGTTCAACTGAATATATAAATATGGTACAGTCGACCCCCCTATAACACTGTTGATAATTCCGTTTTATATGAATTCCATGTTGTACGAGTCACTTAGATTTTACAAATACCGTGTGCCGGGCTGTGAATGGGTCACGTATTTGTAAAATCTAAGTAACTCGTACAACATGGAATTCATATAAAACGGAATTATCAACAGTATTATAGCGGGGTCAACTGTACTTCCTCTGCAAAAATGTCTGCAGTTTGAAGGAAAATGCTGTATTTCGAGAATATCCTTTGAAATATATGCGGCATGTTACTTGAAGATGAATTTCTTTTGATTCTAAACTTTCCAAAAACCCTGTATAATTCATCATCGTACAGCTATATAGCCTATATAGATATATATAAGCTAAGCACTCCGCCCTTTTGGATCCTTCTCCATGTCTACCGTGCGTAAGACCAGACCCAAAATGGAGGAAAATGATGAAATACTGAGCTCTACTTATTCGGATTAATTTAACCCCTCTGTATTTAACATTTAGTGATTTACAGATAATGATATGAATCTCTGTAAACTCGATTCTGGGATAAATATATGAGAAAGTTTATATTCAATTATCTGAATTCTTGCTGTTCTGTTAAATCCAGTGAGTTAAAAACTCTTTATATTTTTCATTTTTGGTTTATAATTTAAAGGCTCTTTCTGTGTTTAAAATTAAATCTAATACTTTCTTTGAATGTATTTGACATATAAAAACAATTTGCTTGTGTATAAAAATCTTTATTTCCAAACCAACAATAATATTAAAGATTAAACAAAATCAACAATAACTTTTGTTACATAAAATATACTTTTTTTTTGGTCAACTATTGTACAACACCACCACCCTAATATATATAATAACTTAAAAAAAACAATAATAATAATCTATTGGTCCAAGTTTGAAAAAATTATCTACAACTAAATATTTTCTTACTACAAAATCCCTATGAATAAAAATATGTATCTCCTAAAGTTACAGAATAGTTCAATGACAAATTGTTAATACAATGTGATATACTGTAATTGAAAGTCCATATTTAACACATGAAAATTCACTTTGAAGCATTGTGAAAGAGAGAAAAATCCTCCTCTTTATAACAGTTAAGGCCTCAAACAATTATTGTGACACACTTTAATCACTACCAATGTAGACAATGTCATCTAAAATAGAATGTGAAAAATTAAAATGTGTACAAATAATGGAGGCGCATACAGTATTTCTAAATATGAGATCTTTGTGGTACTCTACACATTGACAAGTTCTTTATTTTGATCTTGATTTTTATTTTAAGTACTGTATTTTTGTATATAGACACATTCAACTTATACATTTTTTAAACTTTCGTTACAACATAACATTAAAAATAACTTGATTATTATAAATATAATAATTAAATCAACATTTAAAAAATTTATATATATTTTTTGTGACAAAATTATCTTAAAAAAAATTCTATAAGTAATTTTTAATTTGTGAATTAAAATATTTCAATAATTTTATTGAAGAAAGCAATTCAGTTTTATAATTTCCTATCAAATATTTTTACATCTGATGATGATAACCGAATATTTTATCATTATACTGTTTGCGAAATGAAATTTTAAAATAAAATTGGGCTTTAAATTTGAAATAATATAGTATTTCAAGTTCAGAAATGTAAAAAAATAATTTCATTCCTGATATTTTGTGTAAAGAATTGTGCACGCCCATTGTCATATTGCAACGGCCGGACGACCAAGGCAGTTACGGCATCGAGCGACTGCTCCGCGGGATTTGATGTCGAATCTGGGAGAGCATTTAAATTTAACTTGTCAGATTTGGATTATTCGGATATAAACCAAATATTTAATAACCTAAAACATATCTATATCAACATTAGTTTATAATACCATAAAATGGTAGCTTAACTGCCTAATTTTTATACCAAATTCTGTAATTTTATTACCAAATTAGCTTAATTTTAACCAGAATAATGTTGTTTTAGATATGTTTGGAGCATTCATTATTTTTTAAAAAGTCTGTAATAAAATTCTATTAAAAATATTTAAAATGATGTTTAATTGATAAATTTATTTAAACTAAAATTAACGCTAATTATAATCTAACAATTTTTCCTTCAAAAGTCTGTTTAAAAGTATTGGTATGTCTTAAATATAAATCAATTATGGATGTAATTCAATTTTCCATAAATTTTATAAGATAATTCACAGTTAGTCTATGTTTTAAAGCATTTTATCTAATCTAAAAAGTGAGGAAGTGAACTCAGACATTCAGTCATCTCATATATATATATTTGCAGCTTTTAAAAACATATTTTTTAATATACACATAACAACATTTACATTAAAATAATGTTGGAATTAATTCAAATACTATATTAAATCAATTATCACTAACCCAAAGGAATGCAATAATAAAAGATAGAGGATAACTTACAGTTTTATATTTATATACAATATATAAAATTCATTTATTTATTTCTTCTATAGGGAAGAATTTATAAAGTAATAATATATTTTGTAAATTTCATCCTTGAATTTACAAATAATAAATTGTGTGTTTGGAAATTCCTTTTGATGTTAGAAGGAAAATTTTTAGAATTCATAAAGTAAATGAGCTAAATTTGAATTCAATATCTGGTCACATATTAATATATAATCAGATATTTTTTTTTCCCTTACGCCATTAAATTACAGATATATCTCAAGACAAATGCTTAATTAAGCATATAAGTCCGTACGTACAACATAAAATATTCATAAATGATACTAATAGTATTTTCAATTTTTGAGATTCTACTTTAAAGCTAACGACTAAAACTTATATTAGTAAAATATTCCTTTTTTTTTTTTCCTTTGAAAAAGTCAGTTAAGATTCTATCATTTTAACTGCATTCTGATAAAATGGAATAATTTTTTATATTATTACAAAATAAGGTTCTATTTATAACATTGTACATTTTTTTTTTAAATTTTGTATGCTCGTAAAATAATTATTAAAAAAAAAATTTCAAAAAATTATTTGTTAAAACTATTTTAACAACTTTTCTCAAAAATGATATATTTTCGAATTTAAATTTACATTCTTTGTTAATGACAGTGTTCCGTTACGTCGACCACGGTGGCCTTTCTCCAGCCAAATAGAAAATACCCGGCTCCTGCACCCAGTGCGACGGCCATGCATAACCACACGTTGTATGTCATAAATATTAACATCAAAAAATAGCTAGTGACCATTTGAACAACGTGGAGAATTGTTTGAATTCCATGCGGCCAACTTATCATACGGTTCCTGGAAGATACAATGCATTAGATAATTTTCTTAAATATTTAAAAATAAAANTAGTATAATTTATATAATTACAATTATTAATTGGTAAGATTTATTTTAATAACATCAGAATGCTTTGATGGAGGACTCCCATTATACCATTCCTTTTGAATAATCTTATTTTGTCAGCTGAAAAATTAGCATTTAATATCAAATTATGTTTTTGTTCATAACAATTCTGATTTTAATATTTTGTTATTAAATATGTATATACTAATTAGTTAAATATATTTTTCTTACTTAAAAATTTATAATTAAGACCTAATGAAATATACTTAAACATAATTTTAAACTTAATGATATTTTTTCCATCTCTGCATTAATTTTGATAATAATCAATTAAACTGCACCATTTAACTAATTTGTATGCAAATGAATAGATGTTATATTTGTGCTCCTTAAGATTCTTGGATAACCAATCAAGCATCTTAAGGAGCACAAATACAACATCCGGCAAGGGAAAAATCACCACAGCCCTATCAATATTTTACATCAGAAGAAGGGATCATTCTTCTATTCCAGCAAGTCTCCATGTTAAAAACATCCATATGTGGGGATATATCCAAGAGATGGAAGCACTGAAAGTTTCAAAGCATACAAGGAAGGGAGCTTCATTAATAACAAAGAAGAAAAAATGATCTCGAAAGCATGGCAAACATGCTTTGATACCACATTATAAGCTCCACATTGAGGAATTCCGTAATGTGCCTGATGGCAAAAATTTTACAAGTCATTCGATTCCAAACGAAAATTAAAAGAACATTCTAGTATTCCAAATTCATGACAGATTAGTGATAATTTATACAGATAAAGAGTAAATCAATAAGATTAAGTATAAATCAAAAAGTGCAATGCAGTACTTCTCTGCCACTCAATTATATAGAATATTTGTGTTCAGAAAAAAATTTCCAGTAAAGTTTTAAAGACAAATTTCAGCAAAAAGAAAAACGTACTTATAATCTGTGTTTACATTTATAATGAGTTTGAAGTATTCCCACTTCCTCAGCAGTTTACTTACAACTAAAATTAAACAGCAAAACACTTGCTGAGCTTACTGTTTAATTTAATATTCAAGTTTGAAGTAGTAATGAAATGTTTTATGATACTATTTACCATTATTAACAATATCAAGTTTTTATAAAGGATTTTGAATCAATGCTTTTTGTACCAACTCCACAACTCTGTTAACAAACAGATTTATCTTAAATTAATTGCTGTCTGCTTTCACCAATAACTAATAATACGTTACTGATTAACAAACTATTTTATGTTAATGTTAACTGACTATATGCTTGATAATACTTATGCCACAATTTTTGAGTATGAAATAAAAGCATCGATAAATAATAAGCTCTTAATAATAATATTTGTCTTACTGTGTTGTTATTATTAAGTTTAAACAGTCATTTTAAACAATCGAATAACTGAAATTATATAATCTATGTTAAAAAGGTAGACCATCTGAATGATAACAAAAATACAGTAAGATTAATTCAATCTGTGGTCTGTTATAAAAGGGAAAATTTTTTATCAAATTTAAATAATTTTTAATTAAATAAGATCTTTATTTTATAAGATCTTCATTCTTCTATCTTATCAAATTTAAGACATTTAACATTATATGTATTGTGTCAATTGTGTCATTGCTATTCTGTAGAAACTAAAAGTTTTTCTCTTTATATAAATTGAATTTCATTACATCATGATCAGTCGAAATTAACTTAAAACAGATCGTAACTTTCATTATATTTATCAAAAACAATTGTAATCATGACAAATATAATTTATATTCAGAATATTTGTAAGTTTTTCTTCTTTGAAATAATCAAACAAACTATGCAATTACAAAAAAAAACAAGCAAAAATTCGATTTAACTAATTGTTAAACAAATTTTAATCCATTTTCAAGGGTCATCTTCAGGTCGAATTTTTGCTGGTTTGTTGGTAATATCATAGTTTGTTTATCATGGTGGTTATTTTGAAATAATTGGCTTTTCTAATACTTATTTAATTTCAATTGATCTATATTGTTTTAACTGGCAATTTTATGCCTTAACCAGTTTCATTTAAATGAAAGCAACCCATTCAGGCCCATGCACAGGATATTTAAAGGATGGGGTTTTAAAAAGAGCACATTATTTTTTGAATTTGTTAATTCTTTCCAAATGGAAGTTAAATCCCCAAAATTCCATAAACATAGCCATGAACTTAGTGTTATGTCTTATTTTCCAGTTTAAGGATTCTTAAGAGAAACAAATTTTTAGTTGTCTGACTGACAAATAAAGATAATTAGCTGATATTAGTGTCATCTGCTGAGTGTTTTTGAAATGTTATTTTTATTTAATAACAAAAGTATTTTCAAACGCACAATTTTTATTCTAAAAAATTAAATCTATTTACTACTTCAAAAAACTAAAAAAATTAAATTACAAAATGATGTCATTTATCTAATTAATTAGCATAAAATACAATTATTTTCATGTTTATTTCAAACTTAAACTGGTTTACATTATAATAATAAAGTATCAAATTTGACTTTAATTATAAAACTTTTAATAATACAAGGAATATTCAAAAAGTTCCAGTTATGGGTCAAAACATGAAATCATGGTAAAAAATATAAAGAAATTTATTTAATATTAATATTTTTCAAAATATTTGCCCTAAATTTTGACATGCTTTCTCTAACTAAAGTAACATTTAGAAAAATCAGTGCCTCTTTCAGGAATTACAAAGCATTCTTCAATTCATTTTGTACGAGTTCTATTGATTCAAACTTCCTTTTTTAAAATTAGGAATGCTGGTCTGAAATCACCGTAATCCCTTGATCTAGTTGCTAATGACTTTTTCCTTTATTAAAGTTGAAAACGAAACTTTAAAAAGAAAATAGCTTGATTCAAAGCAAACCAAAGAAGCTACTTTTTCTAAGTGTATTGAAGAACTTGATGATTATGAAAAATATTACATAAATTTCTTCATATTTTAACACGCTTTGATTTTTTGATCCATTCTTGGAACTTTCTGAACACAACTTGTAGCAAATTTATTTGACTTTCAGCAGAACTCATTGCAATAGTGATTACAATTATTATTATTATTTTTAAATACATTTAATAAACAGCATCATTCCTTTTACGTTTAGGCGTTTAAATATATGATTTTAAAAATTTATTTAAACTGAAAATGAAGCTAAAGAGTCTTGAAAATGTTTCCCAATTAAAAGTTGAGGTCTTAAATATTTAATTTTATTTAAATGAAGTTAATTAATTTGTTATGAGCTAAGAGTTAACTGAGTTAATTCTTACCTAGCTATTTTATGAATTTCAGTCATTGTTTTTCCATCTTGTCCAGTGACAGATATTGTTGTGTATTGAAGAGAAGAAAAATATTGTTTAAATAAAAATTCTCTGAAGAATTTCAGACCTTCATATAACATTGCCAACAAAAATATTCCAATTATTGAACCGACAAGACCTGAAAAATTAAAGGAATAAATCAAAAAGTGAATGAATTGTTTTGGATATTATTTAATTTTTTATATAAGATGTGATTAGAGAATAAAAATATTTAACATAAATCTTATTATAAATTTTTAAAATGTGTGTAAAATATATTAAATAAATGAAAATGAATCACATACTATATTTAATTTCAAGTAAACTTTAGATATGTTTGAAAACTTTATGATATTAATATGCAATTTACACAACGTAATCAATATATCATCATTAAGTGTAAGTTAAAAGATTAAAAGTTAAAAATAAAAACATCCAAATCCAAATTAAAGCCAAACAATTGTCAATTATATTGGACTATATTACTACTATTATTNAAATTCAATAATTTAAAATGCAGAATTCCAATATAAAAAAAAAGTCAAAAATATTTATGTAATTATATTTAGCTATTTATTTATTGCGATTATTTCATAATATTTTATAAATAACTTGACTAAAAACAAATTTATTTTATTTACTGCAAATGTGTAGTGAATGAATGAGAATTATATTTTAAAATAGGCATTATTTATGATATGATATATCAAATATTTACAGAATTTTATAAACATTTGATTAGATTTAAATTCATACTTCAAAATTTTATAAAAATATCTTAAGTTTACCATCATGTGTCCATTTGGACTGCCATGATCATGAACAATCGTATCGTGGATATGATCCAAAGATGCAGTAGTCAAAGATCCGGCCGTATCGTGATGAACGTGTTTGGCTGGATCCGAAACTTCTTTATCCATATGATGTATGCTGTGATTCATAGCTGTCATAACAGATTCTAATAACGTTGCTGCCGTCGTCATTATAGAAGGCATTGTCGTATCATTGATAGTCGTATGAGACGTATGACCCATATGTCCGTGTCCATGTCCGTGATGGTGATCACCCATAATTATAAATTTAAGATATCTGTAAAAATAAATAGTTTAAATTAGTTTGAAATTAATATTTTACATTTAATTGCAATATTTTCAAAAATTAGTAGTTCTAAAATTACATTTGCAAATCATTATTATGTATTAAAAAAAATGAGTTTAGTATGATACTTTTGATTTTAAAATACATTAATTTATTTTCATTGCAATTCAATAATTCTGGTTTTAAATTTCTACAATTTGATATATTACAAATAATTCAAATATATTATCTTACTTCTTTGTTAGCTGTAAATATTTATGTTAATACCTCCTTACAGGGCAAAGCTGTATAAATAACATTAATACTTTATAAGCTACTTTTAGGTTTATAAGTAAAATGCAGAGATGCTTATTGCTTTAGAAACATTAAAAATAGCTTTACTTTACATGTTTGTATGTAACATTATCATTTTATTTATTTCTTTGTACTGTTGACCTTCAATATAACAGATTAATTAGAAGAAGCAATGGTTTGATAATGGCAATTGTCTTCTTATCTGAAGATGTCACGATCAACTACAAAACAAACTTTATATGAGATATGATAAGAAAAACAAGCAGTTTATATTGTGATAAATACATATAAAGCAACACAACACTTCCAAGCTGCTGGCACAATGTCTAGCAGATATTCTGCACACTAAGTGACTCACAGAGTGAGTCGATAGTAATAATCACTAACAGAGCAATTATATCTATAGAAATATTAAATTAAAAAAATCTTTAACACTCAAATTATAAGAAAATTAAACTTAATGAAATCATTTGAGCCTTAAGACTCATTTTTGGTATGTAAATTCTTGTTTGCTTTTTAAAAAAATGTGTTTTACATTTCTGAAAATGAAATCTAAGAACTCTCAAATCTTTCTGGTTTAAGTATTTAAAAAGTTCATTCCAATAAATTTTCTTATTTCAAAATGTTTGAATAATAAACAGTGATATTTATATCCATTGCTAAACTTTATACTTTAAATATTTTATGTAATAGTATATAATTCTAAATCACTTAACACTATTCATTGAAATACAACTCTTCTAATTCATTTATTTAAAACACAAAATAATTACGAAATAAAAAAATCTAATATCATATATTCAACTCATAAAAGGATTTTGTTTATTTCTTTGTGTTTTCACTTCAAAAACATTCATTTTCAGATGTTCTCGGATTGTAAATTCAAACGGAATACTTTTAAAAGACTTTTCGGTTTGAATTTGTAATCCGAGAATGTCTGAAGAGGAGATGTTTTGGCTTTGAAAACATAGAAAATAAATTACTGTTTGCTATGATTTCAAAATGCAAAGTTCGCTTTGAAAACATTATTGAGAAATAAATAAAAGATTTCTTTAAGAAAACTGCAACAAAAAAAATTTTAATGGAAACTTACTCCATCATATAGCAGACTTTTGGCTTTATGCACGTCCCTAACCCAAATTAGTCTGTTAAATCGAGATTTTTTAAAAAAAATCTTTTTCTAATAAGTTGTTTTTGAGCATCTTCGTGTTTCGTTTTTGTCTTTTAATGTTATCAAATTACTTTTTCACATAACAATTATTATTATTGTGGAATATGTTTTTATTTCTTTATGAATGAAAGTACTATTATGCCTGTTTATTATTATCTTAATCATACTTAATCATCTATTTAATTAATGAATGATTCTACATGATGATTAATTTGAAATTTGAAGAGCAATGAAGCTTTTTAAAGTTTAAAATTTCAATTTTTAAATACAATAGCTTAATTTGAGGATACATATATGTATAGATAGCCAATTGTGTATACATACTGTATGCATAAATAGCCACTTTGAATATTTATATTGAGTGATAAGTTAAAAAAAAANTAAAAAATTCCATGATTTTTTAAAAATTAATATATAAATTTTATTTAAATAAGTAAAAGTCTCACGTTGCATCATAAAATTGAATTTTCTTAAAGAGAGGTGACGGGAAATTCAAAATAATTTAAACAGAATAAATCGCATACTGAGAAGGAGAAATCATTTATTGAGTGTTATTTTGGTCCAGCACAGACCCATTCAAGGTCATTGCATTTCTTCCCATCCCTTCCTGAAACTTACAATGGAAGCAGAAGAGTTTTGGTGGGAAAACAAGTCATCCTTGATGGTGTTTTTGAAAACATGACTTTAACTCTATGGCATTATTTTGGTATACTTCCAAAAAATGTGGACTTCTGAAATTCTGTGGGCCATTTGAAGATGAAAATTTCCAGTTAGAGAGAAGACTTAATCAGATGTTTGGGAGCGTTGGGTATAGGACACAATCACAATCATTTAAGTGTGAATCTGTCTTTGTGTTATTAGAGGAAAGATTAGATTTAAACGAATAAAGTCTTAGTGGCTATCATGAGTCAATATCTATCAGTTCAGCAAAATATTTGCATCAAAGTTGATGTGCTTGGTTTGCTTATGCTATACAACCTGCATCATTTGACATTAGTCATTTTGGGCTTTTCTGATTCCTTTTAAATGTTTCTTTCCAATGATATACATTTCTTACCTTTCTGTTCATATTTCCTTTGAAATTTCTTTGATATGGAAATTTTCTTTGACTCTCACACTTAGCTGCTTATAAGTTTACAAATTCTATTTTATTGGTTATTATTGCTAAATAATATTTTGGTTTAAGTAGGTCCTATCATTCTGTACAAATAAACACCAATTTCAATGTGCTATCTCTTCGCAATCCAAAGTTATACACTGCCCAAATGCTGTGCGACACTGCCATTTTCAGCATTCACGCACAACCACAAACCCCCTTCACAGCTGCACACCCCACTACCCACCAATTTAAATATGAACATAAACCCTCTAGCCAACAAAATTTTAATTGTTAGATTATCATTTATAGTTTACTAGCAGACCCCGCCACGCGTTGTTGTGGCTCAAAATGTATCTATTACAAATGTATAACACTTCCCCATGGGGGGGAATTTTTCGAAAAATCCCTTCTTAGTGTACATTCTGTTGACGTACCCTATTAAGACACAATGAAAAACGCAAAAAACCACATCTAAAATAGTATAATAGATGCCAAGTTCTTCACGGTAAGCCTTAATCCTGTCCCTCTCCCCCGCAGGGGGATATGGAAAAATCCCTTCTTAGTGTATATTCTGTTGATGTACTGATCTGATCTACTTTAGTTCATCCTCACAGAAAAGCATAATGACTCACAGAAAAGCAAACTTACGTACTCGCAGAGTTAGCACCATCTGTTGGACATAAAAGCCTTAATCCTAGATAATCTTTTAATTTATATGAATGTTTAACGGAATAATATACAGTCTATGTCCACCCTGAAGTTCCATTCTAAATATTGGTGAAATAATTTTTTAAATCGGATGAGTAGTTTCGGAGATTAGCTCTTGCATATAAACTTACAAACATTACCTCTTTATAATATTAGTATAGACAAGTTATAAGCATGACAAATCTTGTCATTGTCTTGGTCATTCCAGTTTTCGTACACCCTCTATACCTAACCGAATTTAAAGATGTATTTGGGTCTAAAAGGAGCGAGAGCAACAGATGGATTCTGTGATATTTGTGGATTCCCTGACTTTTTCTGCTAAAAAAATCTTATTCCCTGATTTTCCAGGTCTATACAGAACCTGTAACTAACACTATAACAATGAATTATGTTCATTTTTTATGCATGTAATATAATTTATGGATAAAGAAACATCTTATGATGTAATTATAGTAATCCCATTAAATTAAGAAATTCAAATTTAATGTAAAAATAGGTTATTATTTCACTGAAATGCAATATATATTTTTTTACTTCATGAAAAAACTCAATAAACCAAAGTTATACGAGTACAAAATAAAATATAGCAAGTAAAATTTGAGTAGGAGTACTTTAGTGGGAGTGTTCTAAAAAATTTTGTGGGTCATGAAGTGTTTATTTTTTGAAATTAAATCATCATATTGGAAAAAAATTATACAAGTTAATGGTTTAGGTAAGTTTATTTATTATTACATTATTGTTGGCTATAACTAATATAATATATTAAATACATTTATTAATATTTTTGTATCAGAGCTTAGCTGTTAGATATTAAATGGTGATTCACAACAGAACAAACAGTAATTTCAAGATTAATTTCTACATTTAAAAATGCCATGTTTCGAAATTTACTGTAACATATAAATAGTTCGTAACAATTATAATTCAAGTTTCAAAATGTGGATGAAAATTATGCAAGCTAAAATAATTACAACTAATAACTTATAGTAATTTGACAGTAGTAATTTTACAAAGTTTTACTTATGAATTTCTTTGAAAATGATTGACAAACTATCGGCTGTTTATAAATAAAACAATTTGATAATTAAAATTCTTATGAATATTGGAGTAAAAAGTGGTTAAATAATTAAAATTAATGGAAAACGTCATTCTGGTGTAATCATGTTAAAAACAGATTACTGTTATTGATGTATCTAATTTTACTTGTTCTATTAATATTCTAGCAGTAATGCTATAATTATACTTGTTCTATTTTTTTCATTCCTATTATAGATATTTTCATGTGTATCATATTCTATATTAAAATGGCTTACAATTCAGTACGAAAAAATTTAATTGTATTTTTTACGTTCTTTAAAGTATTTCGTGTACAACAATTATTCAAAAATTACTAAATAATTTATCAACGATATGTTAATTAATTAATATCTAATTTCATACCTCCGACAGTTGTAACTTTCCATTGTTCAAATAATATTGTGACATCTACTCCAGCATGAAAATACATCTAAAAAAAATAATAATAATAATTAAATTTTGATGTTAGTGGTGGTCAAAATAACTTTACAAAGTTTTAAATATTCAAATAGGTATATATAATCAATAGCATAAGTATTATTATGAAGTTATAAAAGAATTAATGTTTTAGATCTGAGGTTTTGACTGGTTATAATATATTTAAATAACTTGATATGCAGTATATAACCAATTAATCATAACACCACATTATTCAAGATGACTTGTGAAGAATATTTAGTCAATAAAGGCAAGAGAATACAGTACAATGCAGTTTGTTTCAGGAATCTCGTCCAAGCAACGTATAGGACTATAAAAAGGACTGTAGAAGTAAGTACAAATTTTAAAAAAGATTTATGATGATTGCAATTAAAATTTCTTTAAACTTAAACTAGGAATATGAAAATAACATTTCGGATTCGATGCAGAGTTAAGGCAAGCATTCAAATGCTTGCCTTAACTCTGCTCTCAATTGCTTTAATCTCTTCAAACTATTCAAGAAGTCTGTTGAGACTGTTGCATACAATAGCTTCAAAGACTTCTTGGTGAGCACTTCCATATTAATTACTTAAAAATGCCAGTAATACATATTTACTAATAATGGGAACACTGAAAATTTGAAATGATATCATACATTTCAATGAATCTATAATAAATAATATGTATCTAAATAATATTTAATAATAAAACATATAACAACTAAATTACACTAAAATTTTAATTATTCAACAATATTAGAACTGGAAATGTGAAGAATTTGAAAACATTCAATGCACTTTGATAGTATAATTTAAACTTCAATTTGGCTAGTTATGATTAATTTCTTGATCTTCTCACTTCTACATTCATCCACAATTACTAAACTTTTTTAAGTGGTGTTGAACTGGTGCAGTGATTAAGAACTACATGAAATAAGGATGATGACAATACAAAATAACGAGGAATAGGCACATTCTGCTGTTATTATCAGATGATTTGTCAGATATGATATACGCCAGCAACAGAAACTAACAGATAATCAAATAACAGATAAAAGAAGTTTTACTGTATCTAATATTTACCTTGTAAATCTAAAAAACTATGATTTAGCAGGCATAAAGGTATTTTATGTCTACTTGTAAACTAGTACTTTCAATCCTATTGTAGGATTACTTTCAGGTTCAACATACATTAAAACTGAATATTACCACCACCTGAATCCTTATTATTTATTATATTTTTGCATATATTCCTCTCCAAATTATGCATAATTGTTCCTGCTTTGCATTATCAAGTTCTTGTCTGAATATTTCTGGACACTCTTTTATTATCTGTCTAGACATCAATGATATTATTAAAAATATAGAACAATTATTTTTTCCAGACTTGCCCCATTTTAAGAATTATAAAAAATTACTCTATATTCTGTTAAGTCTATTAGTTATTGTAGTTAGTCTACTATTTCCTTGTTATCTAGGCATTTTTTTTATTTGTTTCACTCAAATTATGAATGAATTATTTATTATTTAAATTTAAACAAATAAACATCAACTAGACAAATCATTAGATATTTAAATTATGAAAACAATTTAGCAATATACGTAGAAAAAATTTGAATATAATCAAAGAAAAACTTCTAAGCACCAATTAAAACTCATGTTAAAAAGAAAACTACACTTTGTTGGAACTAACTTTTAAAATCCAAGCACACTTGCGCCATTCTGGCTCATCTTTAGGAGCATGTTTTTCAAGCCATGTTTGAAATGATTTAACTCTTTTAAATTAATTAATTAGAGGTATAATCCTTTCTTTAATGTTTAACTCGAAACAATATTTCATGAATTTCCTTCCGAGCATTTACGAGAGATAAACACACAATCTTCTAATATTCAATCAATTTAATCACAGAAGCTGGTTTTCATCTTAAATTGGTTTAAAGTTATTCTAGCATTACATGTATAGTTAATATTTTAACCATATATTACTGTATTACTGCAGTAATNTTGTTTTAAATTTCGGGTGAACTCTTTTAAAAAGAGAATATAATTGGATTGTAATAGTTTATTAATGTTTTTAAAAGCCACCTTATCGAAGTCACAAAAATAACAACTTCCAATCGCAACCTTCTAAGTACTTTCAGAACGATTAAATCTATCTTCAAAGCAACTTATTAATAAAAAAAAAAACACTTCTTAAAATAAAAATTATAAGACATAATTACACGTTTCATCAGTCTAAAAGTACTCGGAAGATAACTTTGGTCGAAAGTTATTTTTGTGACCAATAAAGTAGTTTTTTGTGGATTTGTAGAATGTCAAAATATTACTTATTGAATTTTAATAGTTTTATTGTAATAAGTTCTTTTAATGTATTCTAAATAATGCAACTTTAATAGAAAATTTTAGACAATACTCCAGATTTAAGAAACACTTTGAATCTAAGACGCACCAAGTTCAGAAACGTACGAAAAAGTACATCTCGAATTCAAAGTAATGCAGCGGGTTTTTGAAAATTTGCAATTTAATTTAAATTCAATAATTTAAAATGCAGAATTCCAATATAAAAAAAAAGTCAAAAATATTTATGTAATTATATTTAGCTATTTATTTATTGCGATTATTTCATAATATTTTATAAATAACTTGACTAAAAACAAATTTATTTTATTTACTGCAAATGTGTAGTGAATGAATGAGAATTATATTTTAAAATAGGCATTATTTATGATGTGATATATCAAATATTTACAGAATTTTATAAACATTTGATTAGATTTAAATTCATACTTCAAAATTTTATAAAAATATCTTAAGTTTACCATCATGTGTCCATTTGGACTGCCATGATCATGAACAATCGTATCGTGGATATGATCCAAAGATGCAGTAGTCAAAGATCCGGCCGTATCGTGATGAACGTGTTTGGCTGGATCCGAAACTTCTTTATCCATATGATGTATGCTGTGATTCATAGCTGTCATAACAGATTCTAATAACGTTGCTGCCGTCGTCATTATAGAAGGCATTGTCGTATCATTGATAGTCGTATGAGACGTATGACCCATATGTCCGTGTCCATGTCCGTGATGGTGATCACCCATAATTATAAATTTAAGATATCTGTAAAAATAAATAGTTTAAATTAGTTTGAAATTAATATTTTACGTTTAATTGCAATATTTTCAAAAATTAGTAGTTCTAAAATTACATTTGCAAATCATTATTATGTATTAAAAAAAATGAGTTTAGTATGATACTTTTGATTTTAAAATACATTAATTTATTTTCATTGCAATTCAATAATTCTGGTTTTAAATTTCTACAATTTGATATATTACAAATAATTCAAATATATTATCTTACTTCTTTGTTAGCTGTAAATATTTATGTTAATACCTCCTTACAGGGCAAAGCTGTATAAATAACATTAATACTTTATAAGCTACTTTTAGGTTTATAAGTAAAATGCAGAGATGCTTATTGCTTTAGAAACATTAAAAATAGCTTTACTTTACATGTTTGTATGTAACATTATCATTTTATTTATTTCTTTGTACTGTTGACCTTCAATATAACAGATTAATTAGAAGAAGCAATGGTTTGATAATGGCAATTGTCTTCTTATCTGAAGATGTCACGATCAACTACAAAACAAACTTTAAAACGACGAAAGCTTTATGTAAATGATTCTGTATATTTTTTGTGATTCAAATGTATGTACTAATGCCAAATTGTTCAATATTTACTATAACCGTCATTAAAAAAAATTATGATATTTTAAAATAAGAAATTATAACGTAGTAAAATACTAAAAACTTTCACTTTACTTCTGAACTGTTGATTTTACAAAACAATTTCTATAATTTAATAAAAAAGTAAATTTTGGAATATATCTGCGATAAAAATAGACAAAATTTGAAGAAATACTCTATATTCTGTGTCTAATAAAGTATATATATAAATATATTCGAGAAAACAAAATTAAATTCTGAAAAACTGTGTTTACGTATATTTATGCCCAGATATGTATAGCAAATAAATATTTACAGAAATCACATTATAGTTGTTTTTGTATAAACTTTGTTATCTAACATTGTAGATAATTTTGATAGCATTCAAGTTTCTGTAATAAATCATATCAACATTAAAGTTTTGTTATAAAAATTAAGACTTTTCGTAGATAAATAAATAAAAATCTCATAGACAATAATAATCTTTTCCTTTTTCTGTCAATCACTCAATTTAATCAGATCGCATATAGGATATCCTTCATTACTAACTTGACAGATTTAATTTTTATATCTCATGACTTGCATTTTGAAAAGTAAATTGAAATTATTCATTTACAAACATTCATTTTTAAATTTTAAACCAATTCTTGAATGAATTTAACAACTTTATAATAGATGCACTTGATTTAAAACTTTTTATTCTACATTTCTTTCGAAGTTTTTGAATATTTACTTATGTTTTGATCCCGGGAAGCAATCTTAACTCTATAACTCAAATTAAAATTCATTCAATGTATAAACTTTCAAATTATTATTATTTCTATTATTAATTTTAAAATGATAAGAATCCAAAATTCATGTACGTTAACTAACGATTTAATATAATTAAAATATATAACACGTTGTTTTAAATTTCGGGTGAACTCTTTTAAAAAGAGAATATAATTGGATTGTAATAGTTTATTAATGTTTTTAAAAGCCACCTTATCGAAGTCACAAAAATAACAACTTCCAATCGCAACCTTCTAAGTACTTTCAGAACGATTAAATCTATCTTCAAAGCAACTTATTAATAAAAAAAAAAACACTTCTTAAAATAAAAATTATAAGACATAATTACACGTTTCATCAGTCTAAAAGTACTCGGAAGATAACTTTGGTCGAAAGTTATTTTTGTGACCAATAAAGTAGTTTTTTGTGGATTTGTAGAATGTCAAAATATTACTTATTGAATTTTAATAGTTTTATTGTAATAAGTTCTTTTAATGTATTCTAAATAATGCAACTTTAATAGAAAATTTTAGACAATACTCCAGATTTAAGAAACACTTTGAATCTAAGACGCACCAAGTTCAGAAACGTACGAAAAAGTACATCTCGAATTCAAAGTAATGCAGCGGGTTTTTGAAAATTTGCAATTTAATTTAAATTCAATAATTTAAAATGCAGAATTCCAATATAAAAAAAAAGTCAAAAATATTTATGTAATTATATTTAGCTATTTATTTATTGCGATTATTTCATAATATTTTATAAATAACTTGACTAAAAACAAATTTATTTTATTTACTGCAAATGTGTAGTGAATGAATGAGAATTATATTTTAAAATAGGCATTATTTATGATGTGATATATCAAATATTTACAGAATTTTATAAACATTTGATTAGATTTAAATTCATACTTCAAAATTTTATAAAAATATCTTAAGTTTACCATCATGTGTCCATTTGGACTGCCATGATCATGAACAATCGTATCGTGGATATGATCCAAAGATGCAGTAGTCAAAGATCCGGCCGTATCGTGATGAACGTGTTTGGCTGGATCCGAAACTTCTTTATCCATATGATGTATGCTGTGATTCATAGCTGTCATAACAGATTCTAATAACGTTGCTGCCGTCGTCATTATAGAAGGCATTGTCGTATCATTGATAGTCGTATGAGACGTATGACCCATATGTCCGTGTCCATGTCCGTGATGGTGATCACCCATAATTATAAATTTAAGATATCTGTAAAAATAAATAGTTTAAATTAGTTTGAAATTAATATTTTACGTTTAATTGCAATATTTTCAAAAATTAGTAGTTCTAAAATTACATTTGCAAATCATTATTATGTATTAAAAAAAATGAGTTTAGTATGATACTTTTGATTTTAAAATACATTAATTTATTTTCATTGCAATTCAATAATTCTGGTTTTAAATTTCTACAATTTGATATATTACAAATAATTCAAATATATTATCTTACTTCTTTGTTAGCTGTAAATATTTATGTTAATACCTCCTTACAGGGCAAAGCTGTATAAATAACATTAATACTTTATAAGCTACTTTTAGGTTTATAAGTAAAATGCAGAGATGCTTATTGCTTTAGAAACATTAAAAATAGCTTTACTTTACATGTTTGTATGTAACATTATCATTTTATTTATTTCTTTGTACTGTTGACCTTCAATATAACAGATTAATTAGAAGAAGCAATGGTTTGATAATGGCAATTGTCTTCTTATCTGAAGATGTCACGATCAACTACAAAACAAACTTTATATGAGATATGATAAGAAAAACAAGCAGTTTATATTGTGATAAATACATATAAAGCAACACAACACTTCCAAGCTGCTGGCACAATGTCTAGCAGATATTCTGCACACTAAGTGACTCACAGAGTGAGTCGATAGTAATAATCACTAACAGAGCAATTATATCTATAGAAATATTAAATTAAAAAAATCTTTAACACTCAAATTATAAGAAAATTAAACTTAATGAAATCATTTGAGCCTTAAGACTCATTTTTGGTATGTAAATTCTTGTTTGCTTTTTAAAAAAATGTGTTTTACATTTCTGAAAATGAAATCTAAGAACTCTCAAATCTTTCTGGTTTAAGTATTTAAAAAGTTCATTCCAATAAATTTTCTTATTTCAAAATGTTTGAATAATAAACAGTGATATTTATATCCATTGCTAAACTTTATACTTTAAATATTTTATGTAATAGTATATAATTCTAAATCACTTAACACTATTCATTGAAATACAACTCTTCTAATTCATTTATTTAAAACACAAAATAATTACGAAATAAAAAAATCTAATATCATATATTCAACTCATAAAAGGATTTTGTTTATTTCTTTGTGTTTTCACTTCAAAAACATTCATTTTCAGATGTTCTCGGATTGTAAATTCAAACGGAATACTTTTAAAAGACTTTTCGGTTTGAATTTGTAATCCGAGAATGTCTGAAGAGGAGATGTTTTGGCTTTGAAAACATAGAAAATAAATTACTGTTTGCTATGATTTCAAAATGCAAAGTTCGCTTTGAAAACATTATTGAGAAATAAATAAAAGATTTCTTTAAGAAAACTGCAACAAAAAAAATTTTAATGGAAACTTACTCCATCATATAACACACTTTTGGCTTTACGCACGTCCCTCACCCAAATTAGTCTGTTAAATTGACATTTTTATATCTTTTTCTAATAAGTTGTTTTCGAGCATCTTCGTGTTTCTTTTTTGTCTTTTAATGTTATCAAATTACTTTTTCACATAACAATTATTATTATTGTGGAATATGTTTTTATTTCTTTATGAATGAAAGTACTATTATGCCTGTTTATTATTATCTTAATCATACTTAATCATCTATTTAATTAATGAATGATTCTACATGATGATTAATTTGAAATTTGAAGAGCAATGAAGCTTTTTAAAGTTTAAAATTTCAATTTTTAAATACAATAGCTTAATTTGAGGATACATATATGTATAGATAGCCAATTGTGTATACATACTGTATGCATAAATAGCCACTTTGAATATTTATATTGAGTGATAAGTTAAAAAAAAAAACAATACAAAAAAATTCACATTACAGTTAATTCATATAGTATATAAATAAATAAGTTAAATAATTATTATAATTAATGTTTTTGATCATTTTAAAACTATTTCTGATTGATTAATTGAAATTTTCTGAATTTTCATTTGTTGTGCCGTCAACTTTACAGTTTATGCACGAACTGATCGTATATTAATTCATACATGAAACAAAGTTAGATACTACTAGGGGTGACTTGTTGGCTCAAAAATGTGCCGTGACCAGATTTAAAAAATTATTTAGATTAATAATAATCAGGATTTTTAACAAATAATAAAACAGCAAGCATAACCTATTTTTGTACAGTTTATTTATTTGTTTATATAGATTTATGGTATTAACCAGAAAAGTTATAAGAATATGATGACAACAAATTTAAGGCATTAAGGCATGTAATTACAGTAAGCATTAGCATCAATAATTTACATTGAAAACTGATAAAAATTTTTAAGAGGCACTTAAATTGAAGTGAAGGTATGATCTTTTACTGAATCGGTAAAAGATATAAATGGAAAGATTGTAAAATGTGTGGCAATGTACGCACTCCCATACATGCAACAATTAAAGAGTGAATCGGGAATAGGATTCGATCAATCATGCTGTTCCTGATGCAAGATAAACTTACACATATTCCATCAAACCGATGGCAACTAGTAGCAATGGCATGCATTTCTACATCTAATATCTTCTTGTGTTATTTTTATCCGAGGGCTGGCCCTAAGTATGATAGATGCAATAATAAATGACAATAACTTAGATGCAATTTTTTTATAACAATAATTTAGATTTTAAAATATAAATAAAAAACTAAATTTGTTAATCGAAATGTTTAATTTTTGTCATTGAATAATTTGATTTAATAACATTATTGGATATTCATCTGCTCCTGGATGTAACACTGAAAATCTAATTCACTCACTGCTATTATTGGTTTATTGACAGCAGTTACCTTTATATAAAATAACTCCTTTATAACAAAGCAATCCATGTCAAACAAAGCAATAGCAAAGGGAAAAAGTATACAAGTACTTTACACTTAATAACTTGAATAGATTAATGTTAAAAAATTAATAGTTTAGGAGTGATTTAAACTAAACAATGTATGTAGAAATCACAATAAACACATTCTATCAAAGAACCTTAATTGAATTCCAATGAGATTTAATCCAAAATAAAACTTTCGGACTAATGCTTTTGATCTATAAATGGAGATCATCAATCATCTTCAAATCCATATATTCAAAGATGGAATGCTTGAATAGAACGATTGATCATTCTATTCAAGCATTCCATCATTGAGTATACCAGTAGCGTGCAGTGACATATGATGATAGGAAGCTGTGTTCCCATAAAAATTATAAAACAAATACTGGAAATGACAAAAATAAACAGTTTATTTAATTTAATTCTAAAATTGATGTTATTTTAGATAAATTGCTTAATTGTGTGTATTTCACAACCTTAGACATGACGAGCCATTCGAAGTAACCATTCATCGTGACAAAAGCCGTTTTGTAAGTGTCACAAGCTTCTATTGGAATGTGCCAATATCCAGAACTAATTCTAAAATATATACATAGACGTGAAAAAAAGATATGAGAACTTGTTTATGAAAATAATCACACAATAAGTTCTTATATCTTTGTTTCGTGTCAATGTATTTATCTTCTTTAATAGACATGTTTATTGCTGTATCATTTCAGTCTTTCAATTGGTGTTGTAAACTCATGTAGAAACCACATTTTGCTATTACTTGAATAGTTTAATATGTCTTTTTTTTTCCCAGCAATATTAGTCCCACTTTTTATACAATTGCTTTTTCTCTTTGACTTTACAGCCAGCTTTTCTACTTATCACCGATTCTCCAAAAGATGATGAATTGGTGATAGATAGGAAAGCTGGCTTTTAAACTGGACTTAGAAATCAACCAAAGACAGACTCTAGATAGTGTAAGAAACAGCACTCAGAAAATTCCGTTACATTTCTAAGCCTCTCGCAGCTTAATTTCGGTGTTCTGATAATACACAAAGAACTATCCATTAATTACATGAACAATTTTTGAGCCTCTCCCCCAGTTGCATACAATGATGTACTTTTAGCAAACCCCCTCCCTCCCTTACACTGTAAATGTAATTAAAAGAATTTTCCTAATAACAAATAAAATCATATAAATAAATCTTGTATACCCAAATCATACTTAAACACAGTAATAAACTTTTAATAATCACGTAATTAGTATCATTAAAATATGACTGATTTGAATAATTTTAAAAAGGAATATTATTTTCTTAATTATTAATAGAGCACAAGCTATTTATACACTATATAAAATATTTTAACAGAGTTTGTATATTAGTTTTTTTACTGAAAATTCTATATACAGTGACACGATTCCATTTTGTTATCTAACTAATCACTCTATATAACAGTACTAATAAGTGACCTATTAAGTTGTTTCTATTAAAAACATATAATTCTTCAAATATAAAAACAAAATTATTCGTGTTAGAAATTATATAGTTTATATAAGATAAAATTATTAAGATAAGATAATAGGTAAAAATTTTAGTAAGAAAGTTCTTTAGAAATTAATTATAGATTTTCAAGAATAAACTTCAAACAAAACACATTAAATTTTTAATTCCTCAACACAAACTCTTATAGAATATGTAAGTTTTAAAAGAGGTTATTGTTTATATAAGAACTGTTAAATGTCTGTAAATGTATCAGAACATAGAAAAGAACTAAAAACATCTCCCTGCAATATGGTAACAAACAGAATGACTTCTAGATTATTTTTAACAGCCTGATTAGCAACTTTTATTCAATTTAGTACAAGTATATCACTGTGTACTTTACACAGTATAAGGAACTACTGAATAAAAATGAAAGAAACTATTAACTGGATTTATCTGGTTGTAAATGTGACATTTAGACATTTCAATTTTTTACTAGAAACAACTGGAGAAAAAACATTCTAGAACATTCGATGTGGATATATAAGTAGAGTAACCAAAAAGTGCTTCATCACATATTTCATTAGAAACAGATGGATCAGCAACGTCTGACAATACGAAACTTTAAGAAGAACACATTCACATGATGTTCTATCACTTCAAAAGTGGCCATTATGCAACAAAAGATTGCAATTTCATATGCAAAATGTTTGTTAAAGCATTCACAACTGAACAAAGGTCAGCCAGCTGTTGCAAATATCAAAAGGCCAATAATGCAGAAGGCAGCAATGATCTATTTGTTTGGCATCATCGTAATGGAGCTGTTTTCAACCATCATCATTGTCACGAAAGAACTCTACTATGAACAACTGTATCATTTGAACACCACACTCAAAGAACTTGTTGAAAAATCGACCATAACAACATGCCAGCACATTACCTTAGACCAAAGATGACCTTAGAGAAGCCGACCAGTCTGGGCTGGGAGGTTCTGCCTCGTTCATCTTACAGTCCAGACTTTGTGCCAACTGACTACAATCTATTTTGTACCCTGCAGAACCATATTGACAATATAGGCTACAGTTCAGTAACAATATCTGGCACTCGCGACTTTCTTCAAAGAAAAACCCCAGTCATTTTACACTCATGAGATAGAAAATTTGCAGCAAAGGTAGCAAAATATGATTGATACTTTTTTTATTATTTGTGGTTTTAGGCCCTTTATCGCTCAATAAGAACACAAAAAGGCCCTAATGTGATTGATACTGATGGTGAATACCCATAAGACTGAACTTTAATCATTATTAAATTAATTTTCAATAGAATTTTTTTTCAAAATGTCTAATTTATCTTTACAATTTGATTTATTATAAAATGCATTCACTCAAAACTGGGTAAACTAGATACAAAGCCATAAAACACCAAAAAAAAAAAATGAACAGATAAAATGTGAAGTGCTAACATTTTTGGCTGTGTTGAAGATGGTATTATTTGATAATATAACTAAATGTCATACACTATTAATTTAGAATTAGAATTCTGAAACCTTCAAATCTTAGAATTAAATATTCTATGATTTGAGGATTTCAGAAATGACTGATCTCAATAAGACTTTTCTATTCATAACTATCAATGTAATGTTATGATTAAACTGTTTTCCAAATCACCTACCTGAAATTTCAAGGAAAAAAAAAAGAGGTGGTGCCGTTTTCACTAGGAAATCTTGAAAAATAATGATTAAAAATTATTTCTGATACTCTTTATAACTCTTACATCAAAAGCAGCTTAATTTCCTGTTTTTACCGAGAAACTATTTTAATTTCTGTTACGTATACTTCAATAATTTCTCTCTTCCTGTATTCAATCTGATAATTTTCTAATTTTATCAACCGTTTTAATGCGCAGGCTTCAAAAATCATTTTTAGTATTTAAATATATAACAGAGTAAGATGTTTATTCTGTACATATAAAAGAACTGCATAAGAATAGAACGTGTAGGAGCAAACATAAAATTCATTATAAAAATATATGCATTAGTGTTCATTCAAAAACGAAACGAGTCGCAGTTTCGATTAAAACCTACAAAGTAGCCGCAGTAGTGCGTATTACATAAAGGATTTTTGAAATGTTTCTATGAATTTTCATTAACCTCCATTGAAAAACAAAGCGTGTCGTCACAATTTAAGTGTTTCCTTTTTATTTTTAAACCAAACTCGTTTACAATATCCTGTGCAGATAACCGAGAGAATTACCTAGAAAAGATTGCAGAATACAATTCTATGACGACAGCAGACAATTTAACCCCGCAATCTTTACAATTGTAACAAATACATCTTTAAAACAAGAAAAAAACAAAAAAAATTAATAAAATTATAAATACGCTTAACTTTTTTCTTCGATCTCCCGCGCGCGGATACTATAAACCGGTACACTTAATGCCAAACAAATGCACCGTTTAAACAGCATAGTTTGATTAAACACCAGTTAAAATTAAATGTTTGTTTATACTTTTAATCAAACTAAACTTTTTTAATGAAGAAAATTATCTTTAAATACTGATAAATGCAGTTAGAGTTCTGAGAAAAAGGTAAATACCCAATTAAAACAGGATATTGTACAGCATATCTATTGTATACATTACTTGCAATCTTGAAAGCAGATGTTATGTGAATCAATGCACAGTATAACAAGATGTAAGTGATAAAATTAATTATACATATATAAATCAATTTAAACTCACCTGTGACTTTTAACGTAGGGAATATACGGAGTGTGTTGTTGTGGATATAAAGCGATAGAATTTCGCCTAAATTGCAGGTTGATTTTAGGATCTAAAGCGGAGCAAAATAAAAACACGACTTACCCAACCAGTTGCACAGAGCAACCTTGTAGTTGTATGAGTACTCACCAGGTGGCAATTTTTCTAATGTGTTATGATGGGAATTTTATGTGTTGAAAAAGTTAATTTGTTTATTTGTAATTAAATATCGTTAAGCAATTTTTATTTTTAAATAAAGTTATTATTGCAATAAGATAATGTTTTTTTTTTTATTTTGTTTTCCCATCAGATGTTAGGCTCCTCTGTTCGACGTGACTTACAATAAGGATCGGGCCTAATAGAAGGGTTTAGGCTCTACACTATAGGGTCTCGAGCCTTTCTTATACAGACTCTAATCAGGATATTTTAAAAATTCGCTTAGATAGTCCTCATAAATATGACTCTGATGGTCGTTTAGAAACACTATATAGCCTCGAAAAAATCTTATATATAAGGTCTTTAGAGGGATCGGGAGTTTATTTTTCTTGTCAATATTAATTTTTATTTAGAAGAGAGACAGGCCATCACGTTTGTCATTAGCTCAGGCCCCAACTCACTCTCTCGGGCCTCGTATAGAACAAGTCCTTGCGTTAAATTGAATGAAGTAACGAAAGTTTCCGTTTCATATTGATTCTAAACAAGAATTAATATGGGGTAGCAAGCGCAGANAGGAGCATGTTTTTCAAGCCATGTTTGAAATGATTTAACTCTTTTAAATTAATTAATTAGAGGTATAATCCTTTCTTTAATGTTTAACTCGAAACAATATTTCATGAATTTCCTTCCGAGCATTTACGAGAGATAAACACACAATCTTCTAATATTCAATAAATTTAATCACAGAAGCTGGTTTTCATCTTAAATTGGTTTAAAGTTATTCTAGCATTACATGTATAGTTAATATTTTAACCATATATTACTGTATTACTGCAGTAATACTTAAAAATATTTTAATATACAAAGTAATAAAATAAAAATTGTACAATTTATCTGTAAATAAATATTAATCGTTTCAAGATTTTACTATTGAAAAATGAAATATTTTCAATTTGATTTAGTCAAGTATCCAAATCAAATTATAGTATTGGATCCTAAAAGCAAACATTAAACTCGAACAATTAATTATCTTGTTTTTATTGATTTAATATAATTAATTGATTTCTCGATATAACGGTTTTGCGTAATATTGTGCGCGTAATTAAAAAATTTTATAAGCAACACAAATAAGCATACCTTACACTAAAAAATTTCAAAAATAATTTTCTAAATTAAATATATCAACATACTGAAAGTTTCTGTCATGCTCTAATTACAATTAATGGCTCATTGGAGATAAACTTGTGAAAATACAGTACTTAAAAATAATTAAACTGATAAACATAATANACTTTAATAGAAAATTTTAGACAATACTCCAGATTTAAGAAACACTTTGAATCTAAGACGCACCAAGTTCAGAAACGTACGAAAAAGTACATCTCGAATTCAAAGTAATGCAGCGGGTTTTTGAAAATTTGCAATTTAATTTAAATTCAATAATTTAAAATGCAGAATTCCAATATAAAAAAAAAGTCAAAAATATTTATGTAATTATATTTAGCTATTTATTTATTGCGATTATTTCATAATATTTTATAAATAACTTGACTAAAAACAAATTTATTTTATTTACTGCAAATGTGTAGTGAATGAATGAGAATTATATTTTAAAATAGGCATTATTTATGATGTGATATATCAAATATTTACAGAATTTTATAAACATTTGATTAGATTTAAATTCATACTTCAAAATTTTATAAAAATATCTTAAGTTTACCATCATGTGTCCATTTGGACTGCCATGATCATGAACAATCGTATCGTGGATATGATCCAAAGATGCAGTAGTCAAAGATCCGGCCGTATCGTGATGAACGTGTTTGGCTGGATCCGAAACTTCTTTATCCATATGATGTATGCTGTGATTCATAGCTGTCATAACAGATTCTAATAACGTTGCTGCCGTCGTCATTATAGAAGGCATTGTCGTATCATTGATAGTCGTATGAGACGTATGACCCATATGTCCGTGTCCATGTCCGTGATGGTGATCACCCATAATTATAAATTTAAGATATCTGTAAAAATAAATAGTTTAAATTAGTTTGAAATTAATATTTTACGTTTAATTGCAATATTTTCAAAAATTAGTAGTTCTAAAATTACATTTGCAAATCATTATTATGTATTAAAAAAAATGAGTTTAGTATGATACTTTTGATTTTAAAATACATTAATTTATTTTCATTGCAATTCAATAATTCTGGTTTTAAATTTCTACAATTTGATGCATTTGCATAAACAATACAAAATTATTGTAAATTAACTTATATTTAAAATAATTTTCTTTTTTTTAATCACTTTTTGCTAATTGAAAATGGATTTTACTCCAGATTTTTTTCAGAATTTTTCTATCAAAATCCCAAAATGGAATGCATAAATTAAGAGATAGAGATCGATAAAGCAAAATAAAAAAAAATGCATTACTGGATATAAGCGAAAGGAATAAAAACAATTTAAAGTTATTTGCTTAATAGAAACATGCAAGTTGTGCTTGTAAGTAAAACAAACGACGAAAGCTTTATGTAAATGATTCTGTATATTTTTTGTGATTCAAATGTATGTACTAATGCCAAATTGTTCAATATTTACTATAACCGTCATTAAAAAAAATTATGATATTTTAAAATAAGAAATTATAACGTAGTAAAATACTAAAAACTTTCACTTTACTTCTGAACTGTTGATTTTACAAAACAATTTCTATAATTTAATAAAAAAGTAAATTTTGGAATATATCTGCGATAAAAATAGACAAAATTTGAAGAAATACTCTATATTCTGTGTCTAATAAAGTATATATATAAATATATTCGAGAAAACAAAATTAAATTCTGAAAAACTGTGTTTACGTATATTTATGCCCAGATATGTATAGCAAATAAATATTTACAGAAATCACATTATAGTTGTTTTTGTATAAACTTTGTTATCTAACATTGTAGATAATTTTGATAGCATTCAAGTTTCTGTAATAAATCATATCAACATTAAAGTTTTGTTATAAAAATTAAGACTTTTCGTAGATAAATAAATAAAAATCTCATAGACAATAATAATCTTTTCCTTTTTCTGTCAATCACTCAATTTAATCAGATCGCATATAGGATATCCTTCATTACTAACTTGACAGATTTAATTTTTATATCTCATGACTTGCATTTTGAAAAGTAAATTGAAATTATTCATTTACAAACATTCATTTTTAAATTTTAAACCAATTCTTGAATGAATTTAACAACTTTATAATAGATGCACTTGATTTAAAACTTTTTATTCTACATTTCTTTCGAAGTTTTTGAATATTTACTTATGTTTTGATCCCGGGAAGCAATCTTAACTCTATAACTCAAATTAAAATTCATTCAATGTATAAACTTTCAAATTATTATTATTTCTATTATTAATTTTAAAATGATAAGAATCCAAAATTCATGTACGTTAACTAACGATTTAATATAATTAAAATATATAACACGTTGTTTTAAATTTCGGGTGAACTCTTTTAAAAAGAGAATATAATTGGATTGTAATAGTTTATTAATGTTTTTAAAAGCCACCTTATCGAAGTCACAAAAATAACAACTTCCAATCGCAACCTTCTAAGTACTTTCAGAACGATTAAATCTATCTTCAAAGCAACTTATTAATAAAAAAAAAACACTTCTTAAAATAAAAATTATAAGACATAATTACACGTTTCATCAGTCTAAAAGTACTCGGAAGATAACTTTGGTCGAAAGTTATTTTTGTGACCAATAAAGTAGTTTTTTGTGGATTTGTAGAATGTCAAAATATTACTTATTGAATTTTAATAGTTTTATTGTAATAAGTTCTTTTAATGTATGCTAAATAATGCAACTTTAATAGAAAATTTTAGACAATACTCCAGATTTAAGAAACACTTTGAATCTAAGACGCACCAAGTTCAGAAACGTACGAAAAAGTACATCTCGAATTCAAAGTAATGCAGCGGGTTTTTGAAAATTTGCAATTTAATTTAAATTCAATAATTTAAAATGCAGAATTCCAATATAAAAAAAAAGTCAAAAATATTTATGTAATTATATTTAGCTATTTATTTATTGCGATTATTTCATAATATTTTATAAATAACTTGACTAAAAACAAATTTATTTTATTTACTGCAAATGTGTAATGAATAAATGAGAATTATATTTTAAAATAGGCATTATTTATGATATGATATATCAAATATTTACAGAATTTTATAAACATTTGATTAGATTTAAATTCATACTTCAAAATTTTATAAAAATATCTTAAGTTTACCATCATGTGTCCATTTGGACTGCCATGATCATGAACAATCGTATCGTGGATATGATCCAAAGATGCAGTAGTCAAAGATCCGGCCGTATCGTGATGAACGTGTTTGGCTGGATCCGAAACTTCTTTATCCATATGATGTATGCTGTGATTCATAGCTGTCATAACAGATTCTAATAACGTTGCTGCCGTCGTCATTATAGAAGGCATTGTCGTATCATTGATAGTCGTATGAGACGTATGACCCATATGTCCGTGTCCATGTCCGTGATGGTGATCACCCATAATTATAAATTTAAGATATCTGTAAAAATAAATAGTTTAAATTAGTTTGAAATTAATATTTTACATTTAATTGCAATATTTTCAAAAATTA